GATTTTATTGTGTACTTTGTTATAATGTATTATTAAATGTTTATTTTACGTTTTGCACTATGTGTTTTTTTTCTTTTTTATTTCTATTTATATGGGCCATCTGAACAAAAGAAGGCAGTAAGCTGACACCTAATTGTGGGAGGCACGGCATCAATCAATTATACTTGTGTTAATGCAATACTGTTTATGTAGCCACATACTGGTGTTCGTACAATCCTATATGTGTTTTATTGTATTTGTTTGTAGCTTGTTATAATTCTTTAGTATAATCAAACTCAGCTGCTTTGGCCTTAAACTTGAATTTCACTTAGAATTTTCTTAGAATTCCTGACAATTCTGACTTGAGTAAATAACCCTGACTATTTACATACAACGTAAATCAAACAACTTATAACTCAGTTCTACATAGTAAAAAAAATGAACAAGAACCCCATGTTTATTGTGTTAACACAAATTTATAATCAAAGTCCTACCCTTTAATTCTCTTCAAGTGCAAGACAGAGGGGACGTGGCTTGGCAACTGATAGGCGCATGAAGCTCTCCAGCATAGTGGCACTTTAAGCATAGCTTTCAGCCATTCCAACCCCTGAATAGAGTATTACAGGGACACTAGTGTGATTTGTACTCACCCGTAGCCAGCAAGACGGTGAAGATACCCAACTCCAGGGAGACAGGCCTTCAAGTAGCTGCACTATCTTTCCACTATGGATGCACCCAAAAAAATGGCGCCTTTAAGTCACCATCCCCTTCCTCGTGTTCAGAACAGAGTGATATAACATCTATATCAATCCCCCAGCCACACCAGCAACAGACCACTTGGTGCACCAAATGCTAACAGACCTTAAGTCCTCCATCCAGGCAGACGTGCCACGGAGACAATCAGGCCATAGGGGAGCACACAGCACACTTAGAGAAGAAGGTCCAAGAGCTCATAGATGCTCATAAAAAATAAAAAAAAAGATTATGCAGGCATCAAGAACACCAAAAACATTCTCAGTGGCTTTTTAAAAAAAAAAAAATTCAGCTGTTTACTGATCTATCTGCTATAACCATAGCCAAATGCAGAGCCTTTGCACCAATAACAAAGGCTACTCAAGAGGCAAAAGCACTCTATAAATGGGGATTCCCTATGAAGCTCGTAGTGAGATGCAATAGAGTTGATAAAGTAATTTAAGATCCTGCTGAAGGTCGTAAACTGCTACTCACCTGAAACATCCCCATGGAAACATCAGAGCCACTGGAAACTTCCCCAAAGAGGTCTCCAAGAAAAGTGTTGCATGACTGACAAAATTCACTACCATCATATCTTATTCCTTATCTTTAGAGTGGACAAAGGTTGGCCTTAGTTATCTTTAGAGTGGACAAAGGTTGGCCTTAGTTATCTTTAGAGTGGACAAAGGTTGGCCTTGGTTATCTTTAGAGTGGACAAAGGTTGGCCTTGGTTATGTCTCACAGTTTTATACCCAAGACACCTTAACGCCATTCCCAGAACTGTAAGGCACGTTTATATTACCCCCTAGATTAATTTTTACATACCTGCAATTGAAAGACATCTTGACACCTCATTTGTGCTCTACCCCGCCGACTGATTTTTAAGAGATGTCGGATTTTCCCGCTAAAATTCAAAACCTTATCTTTATGTTACAAAGTGTGGTCAAATATCTTTTTAGATAACCCTTTTTCTTTTATGCAACAATGGGAATGTAAATGCGCACTAGGTTTCACCATCCAAGATTGGATACATTCTAGTAAGACAATGCAGAAAGCTACTCATTGTTATAGCCATATTAAAGCCCTATAGGATGTTAGTTTACCAATGGTATCTCACTTCTACTAAACTTCACCATATATCCCAATGTATCTGCCACCTGCTGGTGTTGTGTTGGCTACAAGAAGCCTCATAGCATTAAACTGGAAGCAGATGGTTAATCATAGTCTAACCCAAATCATAAAAGACATGAATCTACCTTACAAATATGAAATTGTATCCATAATCCAGATAGCACATAGAGCATCTCTGGAGGGAATTTGGGAGTCTTGATGTGGGTACATGGTCAGACAACAGTAACGAGGCAATCCAAAGGATTTAACCTCTTGCAAAGGAAAGAGAAAACCGACTGATATGCCTCTTTTTTTTAACCAAATATGTTAGAGATTATGCTACACATTTTTCTATGTAATCCCCTTTGTGTTGATATATGTTTTTTGATGTTCTAACCATATACAGAAAATTAATAAACTACACATTTAAAAAAAAGAAAAAAAGAGAAATGAGCAGTCAAAAAAATACCTGATGCAACTAAACATATTCAGAAGAATAGTGGCCCGGAGAATCCTGTATGATCAAAGACCCCAAAAAGGATCTTCATATATTCCATCAAGTAAATTGTACAGTTAAAATACATATGAAACATTACATTTTAAGCCATACAAAATCTATACAAAGTATGGAATTGAATATTTGATCAATTTTACATTTACTTTTGCTTTTCCTTCATTTGTTTATTTACTTTTTTGCAACAAAGACAGGTTCAATTCACTAAAAAACAATCCACTGGAAGACACAATGTCTCCAACAATTTCTAAAAAACTTCTGATTGTATTCCTTTGGGACCTGCGAAGAATGGCACTGAGTTTCTGGAATTCAAAAAGGAGAATTTTTGTAAGGAAAAAATAGATAAATATTTTATATTAAAAAAATAACTCTTTCTGGTGCTTGACCGTTGATTGACATTAATTCTCAGGGTGCAATTTCTAAAAATATCTTCTCAAATTCTAGTTGAATGCTTGCTCCCCTCTTCATCTCTTTCTCAGGCAGATTTACATTTTATCTGAGAAAACATGCTCTTTGCACCCTTTTTACATATTACTTGCAATTTACATCTACAAGTCATTCACTTACATAAATTACTTGCGATTTTACTCCAATTGCAATGCTGGTGCAACATACCCCCCATCGTTGTCGGGATGGTGGGACTGAACCATGAATTAGGAACTGTTTTGCTTTAATTGGGATGGTTAGGAGAACTTGGTGCAGAGCAATAGCTTGATTTACTAGAAACCACGCTATACCTAGCTGCCACAAATAGAGATGTAAGGAAAAAGTAACTATGATTCAAATAATGCTAAATTGGCTGATGGGGTCTGCCAACATATTGATAAACTGTTTTGCTGATATGTAAAGACAACCCAATTCATGAAAAAGATAATTTGTGGGTAAGCATAACAGACTGTGTGAATGTCCAGACCAGTTGCAAGAGAACAGAATGATATAAAGGAGAGCGGGAAAGAACTGTGTCTGAGGATAAAAAAGAGGATGAGGCCCATCCTAGATCACCAGAAATGCACTGGCAGTAGACCGTCTCTGGCTCAACTCCTGAGTCCAATAGTATTCAAAGTTTTGGAGATTATAGATCCAGCATGCTTGGAGGAGTTGGAGGCTTTTGCATTAACAAGTTTGAGGCCTTATGGGGGTAAGCAATTTAATTTATGTTTTCTCGTAGTGATTATTTTGGTGGTGGCGAGAAGGTGTTTAAAGGTGGGCATGGCTTTTGGAGATGGGGGTATAGATATTCATAGACGTTGAGGTCTTTTAGGTGGCTATGAAGGTTGTGGGAAGGTTAAAAGTGGCCACATGTTTGTTGTCTAGTAGTAGGTCAATATGGGATTAGCTAAACTGTGGAGATGGTCAAATGTGTCAATGTGGGTGGAGTGTGAGGTTAAATATGGTTATAGGAGTGGCTGACAGCTTGGGCATAGGTGGGGGCAGTATGTGGGGTTCTTTACGTGTACATGATTTAAGTGTGGTTACGGTATGTGGACATTATGCACAAATGCAGACATTATTTTTACTTTACATGCTGATAGGACTTGAAATAAGTCTGTGTTAATTTTGGACTAATTTCCAGAGTAGAAAAAAACTATGTATCATTATAAAGTAAAGTAATAGGTTTATATTTATCTTTACTGACATTATGTTCCTGACTTATTGTTCATTGCTGAGATACAAGGATCAATTATATGTGTGACATAAATGACAGAACAATTAAATTTAAAGGACCACTATAGTGCCAGGAAAACATACTTGTTTTCCTGGCTCAATAGGGTCTCTAGGTCCCCCCCACCCTCAGGGCCCCACTCCCGCCGGGCTCTAGGGGGTGGAAGGGGTTAAATTTACCTCTTTTTCCAGTGCCGTACTCTCCTCCTCCTCCTCTCCTCCTCCTTCTCGTCATCGGCTGAATGCGCATGCGCGGCACAAGCCGCGCGGGCATTCAGTCAGTCCATAGGAAAGCCGCCTCTAGCGGCTGTCAATGAGACAGCCACTATAGGCTGGACTAACCCTATTATAAACATAGCAGTTTCTTTTAAACTGCTATGTTTATAGAAGAACGGGTTAATCCTAGATGGACTTGGCACCCAGACCACTTCATTAAGCTGAAGTGGTCTGGGTGTCTATAGTGGTCCTTTAAGCCAAATGGACTCATTAACAGAAATATATTTAAAAAACAAACAGTTTTAAATTAACACAACTATTATGCATTTATGCATTTTTGTTTATAGTTATTTTTTCTTTCATTTGTACACCCACTTCACTTTAATATCAGCTCTTTATGGTTTTTTTTTTTGTTATTTGTA